ATATTTTGAGAAAACGGCTCTGGAACTGGGATTTGACGGTTCCAATAACTCCGTATGGTGATTTTGGACTTAGGAGCATGTTCAGAATTTTATTTGGAAGTCCGTAGTTAAATTAGGCTTGAAATGGCTAAAATAAGAATTTAAGTTTGGAAGTTTGACCGGGGAGTTGACTTTTTGATATCGGATTCAGAATCCAGTTCCGAAAATATTCATAGCTCTGTTATGTCATTTAAGACTTGTGTGCAAAATTTGAGGTCAATCAGACTTGATTTGATAGGTTTCGGTACCGAATGTAGAAGTTGAAAAATTTAAGTTTCATTAAGCTTGAATTGGAGGATGATTCGTGGTTTTAGCATTGTTTGATGGGATTTGAGGTTCCGACTAAGTCCGTATGATGTTTTAGGACTTGTTGGTATAATTGGTTGAGGTCCCGAGGGGCTCGGGTGAGTTTCGGGGTGGTTTCGGACCATTTCTAGGCCATTTTTAACTGCTGATTTCTGCCTACAGAGGTGTGCATCGGGATCGCGAACATTTGCTCGCGTTCGCGAAGAGCAAACAGCAGTTTGGGGCCTTGTGAATCGCTATCGCGGAAGCTCTTTCGCGATCGCGTAGAACAAATCTTTGTTGCACTTACCTGACTTTGGAAGCTTATATCTCACAATCTATAAGGAATTTGGAGATGATCCAAATATGAAAGTTGTAGCCCTTGATGTGTTTTAGAAAGGTAAATCATTTGTGATTTGGAGTTGTGTACAAAAGGTTATAGTGGATACACTATAGGCTGCCTGGGAAGAGTTTGGAAATCTCTGTTGCACAAGGCTGATTTTGGAAGCTTATATCTATAAATATATAAGGAATTGGGAGATGAGCAACAAATGACAGTTATAGTCCTTGGTGTCTACTTTTTAGAATGTTAAACCATTTACAATTTGGAGTTTTGTACAAAATGTTATGACTATTAAACTAGAGGTTGTCTGAAAGCATTGGGGGAGTTTGTTCTTCGCGATCGCGATTGGTTTTCCGCGATCGCGAAGAGCAATATTGGGGCTGAAAAATTTTGTGCTTCGCGATCGCGAAGAGTAAATGCTTGGACAGAAGATATATTTTGAGGTTTCGGCCATTTTAACACATTTGGATCTATGGAGCTCGGATTGAAGCGATCTTTGAGGCGATTTTCACCATATGGGTTGGGGTAAGTGTTCTATATCCGAAAGTGATTATACTTCATGATTCTATGATTATATTCATCATTTATTTCGGATTTAAATAGAAAAAAATCAAGATTTTGGCAAAATCTTTCAAAAATGAAAATTTAAGATTTGGAGGTCGAGTTGTTATCGGAATTTGATAAAATTGGTATGGTTGAACTCGTATCAGAATGGGTGTTCGAATTTTATAACTTTTGTCGGGTTCCGAGATATGGGCCCCACGGACTATATTTTTGAGTTAATTTCGGATTATTATTGAAAAATATAGTATTTTCTTATGGAATTGATTCCTATAATTTTAGTGATTGTATCGAATTATTTTGGCTAGATTCGAGTCAGATGAAGTTGGATAATCGTGAAAAAGGCCTTCTAGTGGATTTAATTGGAGCAAATTGAGGTAAGTCTCTTGTCTAATCTTGTGAGGGGGAAATTTCCCTATAGAGATTAAATTAAATGATTGTGGTTAATTGTGGGGGCTACGTACGCACGAGGTGACGTGAGTCCGTGCGTAGCTACTATTAATGCTAAAGTCCGGGTAGTTTAGGACTCAAAGCATGAATTACTTGTGTAAATTATATTCTTTATTATTTAAATTATTCGATGTATAGATTGTGAATTGTTATGAAAGGTAGTAAAAGATGAAATTTTCATATGCTTAAGTTTTTGTTTAAATTAATTAAATGTTGAAATAAATTATTTATCCTCTCGAATAAATCTTGCAATAAATACTCTCATTTCGGAGGTACATAAGAAAATGTCCTTCTTTCTTGTGGATCGGGCCGAACGCCTCGGCAGGATAGATGCATCTAGGGATCGTGCCGCACGTCCCTCGACAGTGTACAAGACATTCTGGATCGGGTCGTACGTCCTCGGCAGAAATCGTACTTAATAATAATAATAAATACATGATACTTTGATAGTTTATTGCAGCTTGTGAAGCTAATTGATAAATTGGAAACCTTTGAAATTTAAAGAATTATTATTCCTACTTGTTAAGGAATTATTGTTGTTTCTAAAAATGAGACTGATTAATAAATTGAAAATTTATTGGAATTCAAGGAATTTAATTACTTCTGCTGGTTCAATAAAATTATTGTTAACTCTGTGAATGACGTTGATATAAATATTTCTATTTTCATGATTATTTAATATTATTGACCCATAGTGAGTGTCAAAGTCGGTCATCTCGTCTCTACCTCTTCGGGATTAGGCTTGATACTTACTGGGTACACGTTGTTTTCGTACTCATGCTGCACTTGCTGCATATTTTATTGTTCACGTACATATATGTCTAGCGGCCTTGTGGGCACAGAGGTGTGGTTAATAATTGTGGGGACATAGGTGAGTTACATTCTGTATTATGATCCGTAGCCAACAGTCTCCTTCATAAATATTATATTTTCCTATCTAATTTGTATTCTGGACAGATGCTGTATTTTATTTTTAATTCCTTAGTAAATGCTCATGCACTTGTGACACCGGATTTTGGGAATGGTTGCGAATTGCTCAGAAATTTAGTTGCTAAAAATATTTATCATTTACTCTATGAGTTTTATCTTTACAATTTCATTAAAGAAAGTTTTATGGGTAATTAAGTTAATTGATTATGGTTGGTTTGCCTGACAGTGGTGTCCTGCGCCATCACGGCCTTTTTGGATTTTGGGTCGTGACATCTATGATGCATAATTTCTTATTTTATTGAACTAACTAAAATAAAATTAACATTCTATCAATTTTATGAACTCACTTTGTGTCAAACACTTTGTTTAATGTTTTTTTAAAAAAATTTTAAGACGGTATATTTATTGATATAAGAAACACACGCTTTATAACACGTGCAAAGCGCGTATCCTATGACTAGTCTATATCTATACTATAGTAAAAGCACGAATGCCCTTAGCGAAATGTCGTTCGCCTTTATAACACGTATACCATACTACACATTAAACAACATTTTTCATTTAATTATTTATATGAATGATTAAATTAGGAGTTTAAACTATGTAGAAACTATGTAATTAGGAGTTTATACATAGGAGTTTAAGCACAAAGATAATGAAATGTTAATATTAGGAGTTTATTTAGGAATTAGATTAAACTATGTAGAAACTCCTCATATATAGGTATCTAAACATACTTTTGTCATTTAATTTATTATTAGGAGCTACTATTATGGTAAATATTTGTAGTTAATTTTAAAGTAGAGTTGGAGATATTTTGTGAATGACGATAATATCATTAACCACAACTATAAATAGGTGTGTTTGAAAAGCTCTATATATTTATTAAGCGAGAAAAACTAATTAAGATTATCTTATTAATTCTACTAATGTTTAGATTTTAGTTTGGTGAACTTCGAATTCAATTAGAGTTGTGTCCACTTAAATGTTTTTGATAAAATCAATAATGAACAATATTCTTTGTATTCAAATTGCTTATGGCATTCTTTTGAGACACTAAGGAAGAAGCTAGGGGTTGATCAAAACCGAGTTAAACATATGTGTTGTTTGGATTTATATTTTATATCAATATTTTATTCTAGAGTTTTATCCTATTAGTTTTTGCGTTATATATTTGAAAATTTTGTACGGCAAGACTTCTTTTTTTATCGTTCTATCTAAATGGTAATATTATTCGTTTTCAAGAACTTACACTTTTTAAATTCTTATTTTATAATTCATATATATTATTTAATAATATTTTTTGATTTGTTAAAATTATATATTTATTGATATAGGTACACATGCAATGCGATTAAAAGCGCAAAGAACCTTAGGGAAATAATGTTCACCTTTTTTAGCATTCAAAAAAAAGTAACACTACTTTATTGATGTTTTCTTTAACACTGATGACTTATTTAAAGTATCTGAGCAGTTGATGAAGCATTTTATTTAAAGTATTTTATCCTAAGTTCTACTTTTCGGGGAAATTGACCTTCTGCCTATGCGTACGACTACGAACACAATGAATAATTATATATATTATGTACTGTATATTTAATTGACTTTTTAGTAATGAAAGTACCTATAATATACGGCTGAGAAATATTTTTTGTATTTGTAGATTAACATTAGATATTTTTAATTTTACTAGACAACAACAACCGGTAAAATCTCATAAGTGGGGTATGGGAAAGATAATGTGTACGCAGACCTTACCCCTACCGAGAGAGTAGAAAGGTTGTTTCCGATAGACCTTCGGCTCAAGAAAACGAAAAGAGACAATATATCAGTACCATTAACAGAAATCATAGAAATAATAACACGATCATAAGAACCAGAAAATAGATGAAAAACAGACAATTGACAATACATGTATATTAAATTCAAAAATCTATTAGCATTTTGATTATTGTATTGAAAAAATAGGTTTTAGAAGCCATGGAACTTTGCCACAAAATACAATTTGTATTAGTGGCGACAAAGGTTGCACTACATCTCAGGCTATTATGGCGACTAGCATTGTCACTAAAAGTAAAATAGTAATGGTGACAACTAGGTCGCTGGTAGAAGAGGCAACCCAATCCCAAAGGTAGAGATAATTAGTGGCGACTCTCTGGCCTTTTCTAACGACTTTGTTTGCCACAAATAGTCTAATTTCTTGTAGCTCAAGAGTTTTCACGTCTTGAAATCGTAATTTACTGGTTATACGCACAAGGCTAATTTTGACCATTAAACTAAGACTTCAATTTAAATAGGATCATTAATAACAAAAAAAGAAAGAAAAAAAAGAAATCAAACACACAACACATTCTTAAATTAGAATGGTGGTTCACATGGATCTAGAACACGATGAATTTTGAAACTCTATAGGATTTTTTCGGATATCATATAAAATGAAACGATACGGAGAAGATTAGTATGACTAGTGTGATATCGCATTATTAGCATAACACTCATAATTTTCCATGAATCAAACCTCATACTGTCACAAGAGCCACAATTAACAAGTGATCTATATTTGGTTCAACTTCAAGAGTTAACACATCATCACCATAGGCAAATCCTCTTGACGATCGCTTCTGTTTTACCTACAAATAAATCACCAAAAAATTAGAACATAGACTTTTGCTTCTAAATGATCTCTCTCTCTCTCTCTCTCTCTCTCTCTCTATATATATATATATATATATATATATATATCGACAGCATAAAAAAAATTTTATACTGTCAGATTATTAGCTAAAAGATAACTTTAGGTAACTGTCTATAGTTTCAACATATATAAGTTATATTCTAGTGTCATCGTATATAAGTTATATTCATATAATTCTATGAATGCAAATATTTAAAGAATTCTACATACTAACCTCTGCAACTTGGCCAGCATTATTTGTAATTTTAAATGATGATTTTTTGTCAAATTGTTGAATCTTGTAGCAGCTATTTCCTACATTTTTATTACACCCAACATTACACATGACATCTTCTCTTGAAAACATGATATTCCTCCTTACTTGAAACAGTGGCCTCCCTTTATTTCCACCACATGCATACCCATTCCAACGACCAAACATTCGTAGTTTCTGAAAAAATAGTTAAACAAATAATACATATAGTTAGTTTCCAATTTGTGGATATCTACTGCATACAAAACTTACAAAAAAATTGTGAAATTCTTTCATCTACCACTAAGAAGTATGGTGGGACTGATGAAATGCTTCAGTCTTAACTAGAAATCTCTGATTTAAGACTTGAAAACGGAAGCACTCCCCGGCTCCCCCTTTAGTGAGCCTACACATAGAGGCGGAGCTAGTATACACCTTACGAGTTCGGCCGAAACTAGTAGCTTTGGTCAAATCTATGTATTTGTCTTAATAAATTTGTTGAATATGTACAAATTATTAATTTAGAACTAGTAACTTAACATACTACAATCATGGCTCCGTCTCTGCCTACTCATCACGTAAACCCGAATTAGGTGGACCGTTAGATTTCAGATACCGGATGCATACAACAACAACAATAAAATACCCAGTTTATTCTCACAGGTAGGGTTTGAGAAGGATAACGTGTACGCAAATCTTACTGGATAGTTCGTTTCCAATCGGCTGTTTTAGATATTCGGATGCATAAAAAAAGAATTGTTGTTATCTTTTACCTCTCTTTTAATGGAGAAGAGAACTTGGCCATTGAGATCCATGAGACAAACTTCATTTCTACAACTTTCTTGGTAATTATCAACTCTAAATACAATATCACCTTTGGAATTAAAGACAGTACAACCATTTCCATGGAAAACTAAAGATTTCATCCATATTGTAAATGTTTCTCTTATGGATTTCACATAAGGAGAGGATGAAGGAGAAGGAGAAGGAGAAGATTGCTCTAAAGTTTATGGATAAATTTTAGTCATTGAATTAATCAGCTTGAATATGAAATGAGAAAGAGAAGAAGAAACTGGATTTTGTTTCGGAATATTTTCCTACAAAGAACAAATGATGGTATTGAAAGGGTTTATATAATAATATACATGGGCTAAGTTAGAGTGCCGGGAACGAGTTAAGTCGAGCGCAGTAATTTTGGTTCAAACTTTATATTTGTTGTAAAAATATTATTAAATATATATAAATTAAATTATTAATATAGAACATAACAATTTAAAAGGATCAGAATCCACGCTTAAAATCATGGTTCCGCTTTTAATAATATACTATAATATATATGCTGCAAAACTTGACTTAAAAACATATAAATTGTGCACATTTTTGTCGAACTTTGACTAGGATTTCTTGATTTTTTTGTTTGTTCTTTGTAGTTTGTCTCCTTTGGCAGAAAAATATAGTAATTGTTTCTTTTTATTAATGTGTCCTTTTCTATACCCTACACACATTGATGATTTTCACCGTGTTTTGCAAGTCTTCTGATGTGATAGACACTATGGACACCCCACTCAAAGCTAAGATGCTGATTTTCTTGTTGTAAGTCAGAAAACATAGTTAAATTCAAAATTTAAAGTTTATATATTTTTATAATATCATCAAGTTAATATATAATAATATTTAAGTTTATATTGAAACATTTATTGATACTTGATGAATTTATTAATACATATATAATTTCCAGCAAAAGTTACTTTGATCATATAAACCTATATATTGGCACTACGGATCTTCCCTAGTCAAAATTAAATTTTATGAGTTATAAACTTAGTGAACTCATTATCTTCGATACAATATATATATACGTATTATATTAAACTATCATTAAAATTTTAACAGATTAATATAAAATTCTGAAGGCATCATTACATAAGTGCATAGAGATCAGTGGTGAAAAAATAGAAGTTAAACCCATCTGGTTCCCCCTCTCTAGACTCGACATCAAATACTGAATTTTGTTGAAACCGTAAATTAATTAAATATTTATAAATTTATACCAGAGAATTCAAAAATATAAAAAAATGACACTTTAGTTTGAACTACCTATGACATCATTAAAATTTAATAATATAGTTGAAGTATAATATTCTATATTTGTGTTCTATTCATTGTTACGATGTGCTATCGATGCGACAATTAGAGTTGAATTAATTCACTTAAAGTCAAAAAAGAGAGCATAGACAAAGTAAAAAGAAAAGAAAAACGAAAGCACTTTTATCTACTTGGGAATAAAAATATTTAATCATGGATTATAGTAGTAAGATAGTCGTTTATTGCTGGATTGCATCATTAGTCATTAGTAATTGCTCATAATTTGATTGGGTTTGATATATATAAATTGATGGTGACCAACTACGTACAGCTTTTTCTATCCCTTTTTCAGTGGGAAAAATTAAAGTACAATGATGTCGTCAAAAGGAGTAACACTCCACATTTTAATACTATTAGGGGTCTTTTAGTAGAATAGATAAGAATAATACTCCATCCGTTTCAATTTATGTGAACTCGGCAAGGAATTTAAGAAAAGAGAGAAGACTTTTAAATTTGTGGTGTAAAATGAGGCACATATATTTTGTGTGACTATAAATCATTGCATAAATATAAATTATTTCCAAATAAGGAAAAACATCATTCTTTTTGACACAGACTAAAAAAAAAATAAGTTCACATAAATTAAAACGGAGGGAGTACTAAATACGGTGTATTGGTAACATTAGAATTAATAGTGATAAAATTAGTTATGTTGGAATTATTTTTTATCCACTATTTAGTTTGGTATATTAAAATTAACATGCATTGCATAGGGATGTATACATGCTCATCCTCCTCCTCATTTTTCTTCTTCTTCTTCTTCTTCTTCTTCCTTCCAAGCAAAGGGTCTATTGGAAATAATATTTCTACCTTCACCTGATAGAGGTAAGGTCTACGTACATACTATTTTTCCCAGACCCATCTGTTGAAAATATACTAGGTCAGTTGTTGTTGTATAGAATAATACCAGGGAGTATAACTAATACATGTGTTAGTTATACATAAATTAAAAAACACTAACAAATAGGGGAATACTAATATCAAAGTTAATACATGTATTATTTTTACCTGATACATCCTACCAAATGACTCCTTAGTGCACTATAATCATGGTCATATTTTAAAAAAAATATTTTGGCATTAAGAGTTCACTGGCCCGAATAATGCAATTCACGAAAAAATAGATATAATCATAAATTTGTGTTTTATGATCACAAAACGCCATAAAATAAACCTGAAAGACATGGTAAAACAATGAGTATTGATCACTAGGCCATTTTTTATGAACTTGTAAAATTTCAGGCCAATCAGAGTCCGTCAAAAAAATTCTATAAAATTAACATGTACAAATACACACAAAAAAGTGGATATAATTATAAATTTGTGTTGTATGACCTCGAAACGCCATAAAATAAACTCAAAAGTCATTGTGAAGCAATGAATATTGGTCAGCAGGTCATTTCTATGGATCGAAGAAATTTCAAACTAATCGAAGTCCTTTAAAAATAATTTACAAATTCAGCATGTACTAATACATACGAAAAAATAGATATAATCACAATTCATGTTGCATGACCACAAAATGCAATAAAATAAATTCAAAAGTCATGGCGAAGTAATGAGTACTGGTCATTAGGTCGATTCCATAGACCTAAGAAATTTCAGACAAATCAGAGTATCAAAAGAATTTCTATAAAATCAACATATACTAATGTACACAAAAAATAGAATAATCACAAATTCATATTGCAAGACCATGAAACGCCATAAAATGAACCTGAAGTTTGTAATAAAATTTGTACTGGTGAAGTTTGTAATAGTGAAGCAATGAGTACTGATCACTAGGCCGTTTCCTATAGACCTACAATATTTTAAGCCAATCAGAATCCGTCAAAATTTTATTACAAAATCAGCATGTACGAATACACAAGAAAAGGTAGATATAATTATAAATTCGTGTTGCATGACCTCGAAATCCCAAAAAATAAACTCGAAGGCGTTTTAGGGCCATAAAACTGAAATTCCATCGATTCTTAGATTTTCGTATTTTATAGCCATGCCTTCTGCACGGGCCCGAGCGGCTAGGCACGGATCGCCTAAAATGTTGCTTGACCATCAAAATCGACCTAAGGAACAATAGTCACTGCCTCGTCGTGACCGTTCCACATGTTTTGGCATTTTAGGGCCATAAAACTGGAATTCTGCCCGATTCTCAGATTTTCGTATATTATAGCCCACGCCTTCCGCATGAGCCTGGGCGGCCGGACCCGAATCGCCTAAAAATTTGCCGGACCATCAAAAATGACCTAAGGAACAATAGTCACCTCCTCACCATGATCGTTCCTCTTTTTTGGCGTCTAAGGGCCATAAAACTGGAATTCCGCTAGATTCTCAGATTTTCGTGTTCTATAGCCTACGCCTTCTACATGGTCCTGGACGACCATACCCAGTCGCCTAAACTTTTGCTGGCCCACAAAAAATAACCTAAGTAATAATAGTCACTGCCTCTCCATACCCATTACTCATTTTTTGATATTTTAGGGCCATAAAACTAGAATTCCACCAGATTTTTAAATTTTAGCGTGCTATAACCCACCCCTTCTACATGGCCCGGGTGGCCGGACCCGGATCATCTAAAATTTTGCCTGACCATATAAAACAACCTAAGGAAAAATATTCACCACCTCACCATGACCGTTTCTCTTTTTTGGTATTTTAGGGCCATAAAACAGGAATTCATCCCGGTCCCCAGATTTTCTAGTTCTATAGCCCACGCCTTCTGCATGCGTCCACGCAGCCAGAACCGGATCGCCTAAAATTTTGCTAGACAATCAAAAATGACCTACGGAACAATAGTCACCACCTCGCCATGAGGGTTCCTCATATTTTAGCATTTTAGGGCCATACAATTAAAATTCCTCATAATTCTTAGATTTTCGTATGTTATAGCCCACAACTTCAGCATGGGCCCGTTCGACCGGAACTGGACCCGGATCGCCTAAAATATTTTCGGACTATCACAAACGATCTAAGAAACAATAGTCACCGCCTCGCCATGACCGTTATCCATTTTATGTCATTTTTGTAACGACCTGACCGGTCGTTTTGCGCTCTAGCACATCGTTCCGTGGTTTGATATCTTGAGTAGCTTCACTTCAGGTATTATGACTTGTACGTGTGATCGGAATTGAATTTCGGAAAGTTCGGAGTTGATTTGGAAAGAAAATTCGAATTTCGAAAGTTTAAGTTGGAAGAATTGACTAAGGTTTGGATTTTGAGTAAACTACCTCGGAATTGGGATTAGAAGGTTCCAACAGATTTGTATGATGATATTGGACTTGGGCATATGTTCGGGTTGAGTATCGGATTATTCGGGAGCATTTCGGCGCTTATTATGAAAGGTTGCCATTTTGAAGGTTTAAGAACTTCTTAAGTTTGATTTGAGGTGGACCTTGATGTTATCGATATCCGGTTGGTATTCTGAGCCTTGGAATAGGTTTGTCTTGTGATTTATGACTTGTGCGCAAAGTTTGGCGTCATTCTAGAATGTTTTGATATGGTTCGAACGCGTTCGTCAAAGTTTGAAAGTTTGAAAGCTAAATGAGGATTTCGATCGTCAATTCGTAGTTCCAATGTTGTTTGATATGATTTGAAGGCTCGATTAGGTCTGTATGGTATTTTAGGACTTGTTGGTAAGTTTGATTGAGGTCCCGGGGCCCTCGGGTGGATTCTGGATGGTTAACGATCGATTTTTGGACGTAAGGAGAAGTTGGAAAATCTGGTTGCTGGTGTAACCGCTTCTACGGAAGACTCATCGCAAAAGCGAGGAAGTGGACTGCAGAAGCGGATGGGAGTGAACTGGGCAGAGGCCGCAGGTGCGAAGGAATTCCCGCACCTGCGAGATCGCAAATGCGACTGTTGGAGCGCAGAAGCGGAGGTTGGCGACAAAGGCCTGGGCCGCAGAAGCGGAAAAGGAGGCGCAATTGTGCGAGCGCAGAAGCGCGTAAGGCTCATAAAAGCAGAAGCGCAGGTGCGCTACTTGGGACGCAGAAGCGAGGGCCGTTGGGTTGTGCTGAAGTCGCACCAGCAACAGATTATCTGCAGGTGCAGAGCGCAGAAGCGGCTACTGTTCCGTAGGTGTGAAGGTCGGGCTGGGTAGTGTGTTCTTTTAAAACGGGGATTTGGCCCATTTTTATCTCATTTCGTCCATGGAAGCCGATTTTGGAGAACTTTTGGAGTGCCATCTTCATCAACTATAATGAGTTTTAGAGCGATAGGCATCAGTTTGAGGTGTTAGAGAGACTTTGGAGCCGGTTATAGAATTTTGGAGCGAGGTAAGTCTCTTGTCTAACCTTGTGAGGGGCAAACTACCTCTAGGTGATATTTATTATTGTATGCAACTAGTTGTGAGTGCTACGTACGCACAAGGTGACGAGAGTCCGTATGTAGCTAAAGCATGATTATGTCCGGGTAGACTTAGGACTTTATCATATAATATTTAAATTGTTTGGACTCATTTTGTTA